ACATGTCAAGACAAGCCTGGAGAGAGTGGCGCAGAAGCCAGTTTCTAACTCAGGAATTTAGCTCAAGCAGCGAAGATGCCTTGATCTGAGAGCCGCAGCTGACTATGCAAGGGGGCCTGACTCCACGCAAATGGAACACATTCCTCACCCCTAAAGGTTAGTGCCTTTAAAGGGGCTGATGCTGTCAGACCAGAGCTAGTGCAACAGAGATATGCTGCATGGTTTGGTGACAAGTTCCCCCAATTGTCCCAATTACCAAGTTAACAGCAACACAGTTTCTTGAAATATAACAGGGAAATGCCACATTATCAGATTTTTTCTAGAAGAAATGAAATACCCTTGACCAAGCTCTAGTACAGCCTTCGAACAGAAGGAAATTTTTCAATATGTGACAACATGGGCAGACCTGGAAGAGCTCATGCTCAGTGGCTTAAGTGCCCAATTACTGTATGATTCTATCTATATGAAGTATCAAAAATCAACAAACTCACAGAAGTGAGGGGTAGAACTATGGCTGCTGGTGTCTGGATGAGGGGGAATGAGTTGATAATCAATGGGTATGGGTATGCAAGATGAATACACTTTAGAAAACAACTATAAGGCCTCCCTGGTGGCACAAAGGGTTAGGACGCAGCCTATGAAGATACCCGCAGTCACTGCAGCACGAGCTCGATCCCTGGCCAGGGAGCTACCCACATGGCAAAGCAGACCTATCCTGACTCGCCCGCTGCTCCCCTCAGCAGTGTATTTCAGTACATCTGCCTGTTCTGTTCCCCACTCTGTCTCTGGTGAATCCTCTCACCCCCCACACCTCTGGCCTGTACCCCAGTTCTTGTATGCATAAATAAATAAATCTTTAAAAAAAAAAACAAAACTACTGTAGATATTGTACTTATAGATGACAGATCATATTGTACATTTAAAAATCTGTTAAGAGGGTAGATCTCATGGTAACAGTTCTTATCACAAGCAATTTTTGAAAGAAAGAGAAAATGCAGCACTCGGGTAGAATGGAAGAGTCAGGGCTAGAGGACAGGCTGTGGCTGGCAGCCCTGAGGACCCAGCCCCCAGGGCAAATGTCATGCATTAGGAAACATAAGAGTATGACTGAGAGTTGTCACTTTGGGGTCCCCGATGCTTGCAGCACCTCTGTGACATGCACAGAATGACCAAGAAGGACTCAGCCACCCAACCACCAAGCATGCTCAGGGCTGTTCTCAGCAGTGGCACCATGTGGCAGGAGGTAAAGCCACAAGATAGGTGGGCTGCTCAGGGACCTTATTCTCCCTCTTCCCTTGGCAGTGAGAGCAGAAAAACAGGACAGCTGATGTTCATGAAGAAGACACTAGATCTCTTGGTAATAAAGTATAATGGAGGTATCACAGTGACTAATTAGGAAGGTAAGCTAAGATACGAACACATCCGTAGCATCCCAAACCAGTGCCATGTGCTGAGCTTATTTTGGATATCAGAATTTGGAGGAAAGGAGGTAAATAAAGCACAAGTTGAAATGGTTTCTATCTTTCAACTTGCATCAGGAATAAAAGGAAACCCAGTCCTGACATCCTTCGGGCAGGAAGGAAAGCAACCAGGGGCCAACTGGCAAGGGAGACAGTTTGCTTCAGGGAAGGAACGCTAGGCTTTTAAATCTCAACTCCCCCTCCTCATAACACCTCACATTCGTTCTCATGTAAACCAGCTTGGAGGCTCTCGTCTCTCCCCAGCCACCCCAAGAGGACAGGAACCTGTCAGCTTCCCGAGAAGTAAAACAAAGTCAAAAGGAAACGCTAAGGTTGCATCTCCTCTGCTGGAAGCACGAGGCATGAGACAGTTCTGCAGAGGCGCTGCGGGACCCTGGGGGAGGAAACCTGTGCGCTCGCTCAGAGGCTGTTGAGTGCAGGGAAGTTATAATGAGCTTGAGCAGCTCTTTGATAGCAGCTGACTGTGAGATGGAAACACAGCATTTGCAAGTGTGAGCTTTCGAAGAAGATGGTTTTTAGGAAGTGATTTTCCCTCTTGCTGTCTCCTCCCTTTGGGGATATTCAAATTAGGCCTTGAGTCATCCCAGGAAGGGTGCCTCCCTCTTCCTCTCTCAATGGGTGCAGGTTGGGGCACCTGTACCTTGTACCTGGAAACCCAAGGTCCCAGCTGGGATGCTGCACAGCAGGAACTACAAGGGCAGAGATGGGATGAAATTGAAAACATAGAATTGAAGACAAGATTAATAAAATCCGATGAAGGCAAACACTACTGTCTACCTAGCAGCTTCAATTACATTTACCATGTCTGACAAGGAGGGGGGATCATGAGGAGTAAGTCCTGCTCTGGAAAGAAATTATGAGCTAAGTAACAAGGGGTGGCACCAGGGGAGTCACTGATTCACCTTTCCAGAAACTATTCAAGACAGGGGATAAAACCTGGTAGTCACCTGAGACAAATTCAGTTCACTTGGCAGGACCCCTGCAGAGTCTAGGGCCTGGACTCCTGGGCAGCTCACCCCCAGCAGGAATGTGGCAGCAGGACAGGCCGCCCTGAAGCTCCTTCAGCCCATGCACAAAAGCTGGTGTCCACAACGCCCCAACTTTGGGGTGACCAGACACATCATCAGGCAAGGGCATCCTGCTGCCCTTTGTCCATTTCAGGTCCATCAGCAGAGCCTGCTATTGGGGCTGTCTGAACACAGTCTCTGGCACCTTCGGACCAGGTCAACCTGAGCCCCAGACAGCACCCAACCCATCCTGGTATCTGCAGGTTGCTGCTGCCACCTCCCCCCCAGCTATTTCTCTCTACAGCTTAGCAAGAAAGCAATCTGATTTAATTAATTCACACCAACTCTCCATGGGTTCCTATTTTAGAAGAACAGGTCAGGTAATGTAAATGAACCACTCAGGGTGGGTTGTTATTGGCTGGTGTCCGAACGTCCTGGACCTGGTGTGCAAGATGAACCTTGTGAGGAAAGGAAGAAAAGGCGCCTTCCTCGTGCCCTCTCCCACCTCCTGCCACTGCTCAAAGGACTCCCACTGAGCCATCCTCCCCTGCAGCACCCCATCTCCAGGTGTCTTCATGTGGACCCACCAGTGAACAGAATAGCATCTGGCTGCAGTGACAGAGAGGAGCTGCAGCTGCCTGCCTCTAAGGCAGGAATGTTAGCATGCAGTGTGAGGAGCACCCTAAGATCCCCAAATCTGCCTGGTCTAAATGGATTCTGCCATCCACTGCATAAAAACAATATATACTCTTGGTGTGTAAAACCCTCAATAGAATAGAACTTGAATACAATCAGTGTGCAACAGAGAATTATTGTGCAATAGAGAGAAGAGAAAGAACAGTTTCCAAATGAAGCAGCCAAAGTGACCCACGTCCTTGTGAGTAAGTGCCCACCCAACAGGGTTGGCCTGAAGCAGGGCCACTGAGGCCTGAAAGCCTGCCCAAGTCTAAGGCCCCTTTAGGTGGGGACCCATAGGAAAGAGGCCGAAGGGGCCGGGCAAGTCTGGAAGCGAAGGAGTAAAATGAAAATACAAATCAAAATAAAGGCTGCCATTGTCAGCCTCCTCACGGGTGTCTCACCCATGTCTTGTCTAAATGCCTCTCTCATGTGCCCCAAGTCCCTGGCACAAGTCCAGGGCCAAGAAGCAAGTGTGGCGTCTTCGCATGTCTTTCTGCTCCACTTGCCTCCTCCAGGTCTCCTCCCGAGTCCTACGAGTCCTCTCCCATTTTTCCAGTCTTTTTCCAGCTTCCCCTCCCTGCTCAGCTCCACCCTTCCTTGGGCTGGGGCGGGGGGGCAGGAAACCTGGAACCTCCCCTTTCGAAGACTCTCACAGCAATGCCTGCTGCTCAGACTAAAGGGGCCCAGGATTGGGGTTTCGGATCCAGGGGTCTCCAAAGGAGGGGTCTTTGGGATCTGCTTCCTTCCATCCTGCACCCCAAGTGATGCTCCTGGAGTTTCTTGCATGTCCTGCTCCTCAGCTGCCTGCAGATCCCTGGTTGATGGGTCTCCCCTGGCCTCAGCTGTGCGGAGGCCGGTCCTCTTCATCACAGACTGAGGGGGTCTCAGCGGAACAGGCGAAGGCAAGCGTCCTGGAGAAATCTGCCCCTGATGCCTCCTGAGACACGAGCTTTCCTTGCCTGGCCCTGTGTCATCCACATTCTTCCTCCCGCAGCAGGGAACCTACGGCCGACTCTGCTCCCCTGACGGCAGCACCAGCGCTGCCACAGCCACCAACACTCAGGCTCTGTTTGTCCCAATTTCCTCACTTCCATCAGCAAGTGAATTCACCCAACCCTAAGGTTCTAGAAGGACACACATCATGTTATTGCTGAGCAGTAGCAGAGCGGAGGGGGACTTCTCTTTCTCTCTGCCACTTCTGTACTGTTCTGTTTTTTGAAACAGAGAATGTATTCAAGGAGTCCTCCAAACATTAAAATAAAATGCATAACCAAAAAGGACAAGGAAATGAATGCTTTCAACAATGAGGCCCAGACTCGGCAGGGTTTCTGCTGGCGGCTGAGAGGCAGAGGCGGGAAGGCCCATGCCTGCATCACGCTGGTGACTGAATGAATGGCCAGGGTCTCAGAAGTTCTCTTCAGGGTTGGACACAATTCAGCCCCTCTGGCCGGTTTTCTGCCCTCGATGCTCAAAATCCTTCGTATGTCTCCTGTCCATGCCTCCCCTGATTTATACCCTTGTACCCCTGGCAGGACCCAGGGCTGGCAAAGTGAGCAGGTGCCTTGGAGCTCCTCTGACCTCAGGTGACCCTGTGTGCCAGCTATGCACAGACTGTTACCTCATTCCAGCAAGCTCCCCACCCCACAGGTTAAAGACAGGGACCTTCTGCCATCACAAAAACCTGACTGGTTTCTGAAGAACCATGTGTTAGGTGCAAAGGTCAGTCTCTGGCCAATACATTCCAGCAGCCACCCTTCTGTGCTCCCAGACACAGAGAGCCAAGCAGCTGCAAAGGTTCCCCGCCACCCCAAGAATCCCCGCTGCCAGCACTGACCTGCAGATGTAATTCGTCTTGCAGGAGTCCTGCAAGTTCAGGCAGTTGGGCTTCTCCCGCTCCTCGTAGGAGCACACGGGCACGATGGTCTGGCGCCGCCGCTCGGTGCAGGCGATGTCCCGGCAGGAGCAGAAGAGCATCCCGTAGCTGTGCTTGGCAGGGACCTTGTCGAAGAACTGCCGCAGGGCCTTGTGGCACTTGCGCCGGTTGCAGACCTCATTGGACATGCTGGTGGTGCAGGGGGTGATGTAGGCCGACCGGTACTTCTTGCAGGTGTCGTCCAGGTTGCAGGCCTTGGCGGCATCGAGGCAGTTGTTGCCCTTGGGGATGTGCTCCACTGCAAAAGAGAAAGGCAGGCATGATCATGTGCCTGGCGCCCGGGCTGCTCACTCACCCCTTAATAACTGAGACGTGGCCGTTTACCTGGCCATGCTGGGTGCTCTGATCCACTCTGTTTTGAAGCTAATAACTTAATGAGTTCATGACAAGGAGAAAGTATCAGGAGTGCCAATATTGGGACCCATGGCAGCACACAAATGCCTAGCATTCTCTGAGATGTATAATTAGGAGGTATTGAGTGAGGCCAAAGGAGCTCAAGCACCTGCCCTGACTCCAAATAAACAAGGAGAATAAGTCTTCAGCTCCTGGTTGGTAAACTGAAATTAGGATAAAAGAAAAAAAGTAACAAATTATATACTTGTTCATTATACAGTATATAAAATGATATGCTGAATGTAAGTATAATTGCCATGCAGTCCTCCAGGAATATAATTATGTAATAAATGCATATAGCACATGCTAATTACTATATGATTACAGAGTAATTACATGGTTATTTGAGCCCAGAAGACAAAATATTATGCCAGGCTCTCTAAACAGGAAGAAGCAACTACAACGAAGCTGTATTTAAGTTCTAGCTCACAGGCCATTGGAAGAAAACCAGAATACATTACATAAAATTTTGTAAACCTCAATTACCACTTAACTTACGACATACGAAATGTAGGATCTATGAATATTGAGGTGGCAGATTGGAAAAATTCAGCAAGTATTTTGGATGGAATTTCAATGGGCTTACAAATGACAGGCCTTAGGAATCTCACAAAGCATATGTTGCCTCTGCCAGAGGCCTCTGAGTTCATGCTGTCGAAGAAACTGAGGGTTTCATTTCAGGGATAGAGTATGGTAGAGGCAGGGCCCATGGGGCAGGGGTGGGGCTGGCCAGGCTGGCCAGGGCCAAGCCTAATGGGCAGAGTTAAAAGAGGAATGGACAGGGAAATTAAGCTCAGTCCCCACGACACAGGCATTTCCACAAGGAAGGGAAAAACCTTCCATGGCCAACTCATAAGGGTGGTCCATGGAAAACTGATACATAAGGTATAGTCGTGACCTTCCAGAGACACAGCCAAGAAGCCCCACACAAATGTGGGGTTCAATCCCAGAACTCCAGCAAGTTCCTGCTCAGGAACTGCCCTCCTTAGGTTCTGGAACTCTCTTTCCATTCTCTTTGAGTCTCCCCCCCACTCCCGTCTGTGGGGGCCATGAAGACATCTGGAGAATTACAAGAGGCTATAGAATTGACAAGGGAGGAGAAAGTGTCCAGGTGGGACTGAAAGGCCAGTGATTTAGTATAAAAGGCACAAGAAGAAAGTAAGAAATCCTGCATGTATGGCAATCTGCACGCAGCTGGAGGACACTACTGAGCAAAATAAGCCAGTTGCAGAAGGACAAATACTGCCTGATTCCACATATATGAAGTATATAAAACAGTCAAACTCACAGAAGCAGTGAGTTGAGTGGCAGCTGCAGGAAGCTAGGCAGAGAGGCCAACGGGCCACTGTTAACCAAGGGGTTCAAGTTTCAGCTACACAAGATGAAGATCTAAGGATCAGCCTTGAGACATCACCTGTGGCTAACAAAACCACTGCAGACTTAAAATCTGTTGAGGACAGGTCCTCCATTAAATGTTCTTATTACAATTAAAATAAAAATTAAATAAGTAAGGGTGCACAAAAACAAGTCCACATCTCCTAAAATGACCAGCTCCCTGTTCTACTGATTTGTGCCTTGATTTAGGACAACCGAACATGAGAAAACCTGAAATCACAAAACGATATCCTGGCATCTTGCTGTGCCCCAAGTTCAAGTTTTTGCCTAACATGTGAATCCAGCAATTTCACGCCTAAGGCAATAAATATGACATTCAGGCTTCTTGGAGGAGTGGTGCAAGAAGCCAGCAGCAACACACACATCCCTGCTGGCTGCATACCTACACCTGCTGCAGATTCTCCAGCATGCATCTCCTCCCCGAGTCAGCCCCTGTGTTTCCATATTCAAGGTTCTCAGGTCTCAAGGAGCAAAATATTCACCATGAGCCTGACAGGACCCTCAGAGCCTTCTCCTCTGAGACTTTTAATGTGGTGCTGAGGGGCAGTGATTTATATTCTTGAAGGTGTAGCACTCTCTAGGAGATTTCTAACTTATGCATTTTTAATGATAATCTAAAATAAATTAATATGACCATATTCTGAATCATCTGGAGCAGGCCCCATAAGGCTGGATATGGGTACACAATTTTACTACCTGCCTTGACATTTAATTTGGTGTTGAAGGATACATCATGCTCTCTGGCCAAAAATAAAAGAACAAAGACAAAGAGGTAGACTTAATCCTTAAATGGTATGGCCAATGCAGGCCTCCCTGGTGGCACAAGGGGAAGACGTAACCTATAATGCTATCTGCAGCCACTGCAGCATGAGTTCGATCCCCGACCAGGGAGCTACCCACATGGCGCAGCAGACCTCTTCTGTATCCTGCTGCTCCCCTCAGCAGTGTACTTTAGTAGATCTGCCTGTTCTATTCCTCACTCTGTCTCTGGTGAATCCTCTCACTCCCCACACCTCTGGCCTGTACCCCAGTTCTTGTATGCATAAATAGATAAGTCTTAAAAAAAAATAGAATCACCAATGTAACAAACAGCTCCTAGAAGTTCAAATGGAGAGAGATGGCAGAAAAATTAAGCCCTCATGTGGCATTGGCTGTACAGTCCTGTCCCTCAAAGGAACTCGTGTTGTAACAGAATAGTATGTTCTGATTGTAAGTGTCAGTTATGCTTTAGCAAAACAGTATCAAATATCATCCTTTATATTAAATTGTATTTCATTGTTAAGTTGTGCCACTTAGTTGTATTTCATTGTTTGCAAAGTTTTGTTCATACTTAATATGCATGGCTAAGTTGTTCTGGTAGTTGCATAAAAACAAAAAATTAGAGCTTACAGTTTTATAATTTCAAATCAAGTTATAATAAAAATAATAAAACACAATACATGATATTTCTCTCTGAAAGCAGTTTTCAAACTACTTTAAGGTGTTTTTAAAAATTAGCCTGGAAAAAGTTCCTTGGTATGGGATCGTAGCAATCATTTTTTGGGTATGAGAGAAGCAATAAAATAAAAATCAAGCACTGTTGGATGATCTATTTGAAAGTTGCTAAGAGAGTAAATCCTAAAGGTTCTAACTTATCACAAGGAAAAATTTATTTTTTATCTCTATATGGAGATGGACATTAACTAAACTTATTTTAGTAATCATTTGTCAATATATGAATGTCAAGTTGCTATTTGATCACACCTTAAGCCTGTAAGGTGTTGTATGTCAATTACATCTCAAAACTGACCCAAAAAATTGGCCTAGTGTATGTCTGCTTTGTTACAAATAACGGTAGCTTCATTTTAAATGTTGTTAAAAACTATATAAACTACTAATTAATATTTTCTTCTTAATGTTATCCAAAAGGAAAAACCAAATTTCTAAGAAAATTGTACAAAATTTGAATAGGGTAGACGATTTTATGTCCAAGCAATTGCTCAAGTTCACTCCATTTATCAATGGGTGTGACTCAGCCTCATTTTCAGCTGATTGTGTTTCATCAATATATAACCCTGAGAGACCACCATCTCCTTAACATAATTTCAGAGTCTGTGACAAATCCCCAGTGCACAACCCTGGCACATTCAGCAAGGCAAAAGTCTATTAATTGATTCCAGCTTACAGGACAATGTGTAACTTTCTTTTTGTTTCTGATCTCATTCTCATGACTCTTTCCAGCTTGATATATGAGGCCAGCATTCCCCAAATATCTAAACCTGATGAAGGCAAAAGAAGGAAATTACAGACCAGTATTCTTACAACTATAGATTCAAAAAATATTTAGCAGTATGTTATAAGAAAAATATGCCATCACCAACTAAGGTTCATCTCAGGATGCAAGGTTAGTTTAATAATTAAAAATCAATGTAATTCACTACATTAACAGAAAGAAAGATTTCATATGATTAGTTTAATACACAAAGAAAAAGCAGTCACCCAATCTCAACACTCCATTCTCAAGAAAAAATGCTCAGCAATTTATGAAGAGAACCTGCTTAATCTGATCAAAATCATCTAAAAATCATATTTAATAGTTGAAATAGTGACCATCTCCCCCTAGAATCAGAAACAAAGGAAGAATGTCCATTCTTATCACCTAGAGTTCACATTTTACTGGAAGTCCTAGCCATTGCAATAAGAAAATGAAAAGAAATAAAAGGTACATAGCTGCTAAAAATGAAGACATCTCTATTTGTAGATGATTTAGAAAATCTTGAAGCATCTACAAAACAACCACTAGAACTTTGAAGTTAATTTGTCAGTTAGTATAAAAGTCAGTTACATTTTTATAAGCAACCAGCAAAAAAAAATTGGAAGACAAAACTTAAAAACAAAATTCACTTGTTAAAATTTAACAAAAGGCATGCAAAAAAACCCCTCTACAATGAAAATTAAAAACACATTTCTGAGAAAATTAAATAAATAAATGGGAAAATATATCATGCTCATGGATGAGAGAACTTAATAAAGATCAGTTATCCCCAAATATTAATATGATTTGAAATTGACATACAGACTCTAAAATTTACATGGGAATGCAAAGGACATAGTATAGCCAAAGCAACTTGAACAAGAACAACAAAATTGAAGAACATCACAATGATTTCAAGATCTACTATAAAATTATCAGGACCAGTTATAGACAAATTCAACAATGGAACAGAAGACAGAACTCAAGAATACACCCATAATCTACACTTGATTTTTGACAAAGTCAATAAAAACAATGAACAAAGGAAGATTTTTCCACTAGAATAACTGAAAATCAATTTTTTTAAAAAGTCAACAATAATCCCTCTACCTCTATATCATAACATAAAAATTAATACAAGATGGATTAAGGACTTAAACATTAACAGCTAAAAAATAAAACTTTCAGAAGAAAACAAAAGATAATCTTAGATGTAG